AATCCCGTACGTCGCACTTTCCATGAAATAAACTCTATTTAATACAGCAAGAGAACTGCAATAAAAACAATATAGAAAGAAATAATACTGTTCGACAATTAAGTTAGAAGATTTCACTTCCACAACTCTGGTATGTCTGTATGACCCTGTATTTTTCAAAAAAATATTTGACTGCCTGACGTTCAGTTCTGGGACTAAACGTCAGGCAGTCGAAAAATCTCAAAGTGCCGTGCTTGTGTTACAAACTTGTCGAACAGTATTATTTTGGTCTTTACTGCATTTCCCTTGTTGCATTAATTGAAATTACTGTTGTTCCGACGATTTGTTTTTAGAAAAAAATAGACTGCCTGACGTTTAGTTAGGACTAACCGTCAGGCCGCCTGCCGTTTAGACACTCCGTATATTTTAATGTTGTTAATCACGAGTAACGCTTCTGAGAAAATCTGATATGTCKGGAAATGTATTGTCTAAGCTAAAACCTTAGATAATACATTGTTTTGGCTTAAGGTTAATCTTACTTTAGATMTATATGGTCTCTTACATGGAATACTCAACAAAATATTACACCTTATATAAGAAGTATGCTAATGATAGGAAATTCATTAAGGTGAAAAAAAAGGTCAAATAGCTCAGTCAAATTCCAAGAAAATCTATAATGTTACCTGATACTGTACTCTTTCTAACATCACGATGTAGTAGTACYATGTTCCGTATCTTTGAATAGAAGACGTATGTTTTGTCTTCCTCCAGTACCAAGGTATGATGTTTTTGGTCACTCGTGTAAAGAAATCAAAGATCTCGGTAAGTCTCATGGAGATGGAGAATACTGGATTGATCCTAATAGAACTGGACAACCCTTCACTGTMTACTGTGACATGACTACTGATTCAGGTATGTAAGGAACAGTATTACAACTGGCAGTATGTTTTAACAATAATGGACTTTAATGGGCTCATAACTTTCCAATTCGATCAAAGAAATAAYAACGTATCACAATATATTTTGACCACTTTAASTTGACGAAATATCGGTTGTACTCAGGTAGATTTACTGACAATATCAGTGAAATTCCTTTCTATTACACTGAAGTAAATCGAGAAGAATGGACTTGATTTTCTTTTGAAATGAYAGGTTTCTAAACCATGTAGTATCACATTCAAAAACGCACTAAAGATAGAGTCAAGATGGATATTAATTTTTGCTTCAAGCGTTTAGAATTCTTTGGCTACTACAGAGGAACGGGTGTTATAGGAGAGAATGTCAGATATTATAAACAGATTGATGTTSGTTACTTTGAACCCTTTTGAGGTCAAAGTGTCCAAGCAAATTGCTGGAAAAATTGCTGGATTGAATCTTCCCTCAGTCTTCGGCATACCTTTTTCGATGATTGCCGTTATTTTGAAAAAGGTTTGTCTGCGAAATTACTTTTTGTATGTCCATAGGAGGCTGGACACTAATTAAGAGATCAATTCTAAAGTCCATCAAGAATATAAACCAACAAAGAAAGATTAACAAGGATARTTACAGTGCAATCTCAAACTACCATGATATTGGACAAARTGTTCGCACTACGGCGATACAAAAGCTAAGAGAAGACATGGGTTTCCATCAGATTCGATTTCGATGTCGCAAAAAGAGAGTCAATCGTACCATTCACATCATGACAACCAACAACACCGCTGGACACAAAGTACTGGATCACTTTCTCGTCAAACCGTCATGGCCGACAGCATGCAACTCGTTTAAAAGACTACCAGATGACACCTCGATTCTTGCACAGAATTGCGAAAAATGGGGTTGTAATGACGGAGAGATAGAGGTTAATCAATGGGGGAATTCAACAAATCGTRGAAGAAGTAGAATCTATAATAATGTAATTGTTTGGAAAAATAAGCATTATTTGGGATTTTCTGTTCGAGGGCCTTATTATTGCGATGACTCAAATGGAAATACTGTAAGTGTTGGCGATATTTGGGAACTTTACGTCCGTTAATTTTGTAGTTCATAGATGCAGTTTAAACTGCACCCATATATAGGCGAATAATTTGTTTCTACATTTCAGTTCATTACTTAGTATATCATAATTAGCATAAGGATATGCGCTTTTAACTTTACTATCAATAAATATTAAGCACTGAATATTGAAACAACATAAACTTTCCTCGCAATTTTGAGCTTCCCATAGTAAATACGTTTTGCGTCAAACGGTTTTAAAAACTCCAATTTTAAGAGAGATAATAACAAGCGCTTTTGCCACTCAGTWTCTTTGAACTCTAAAGGCATAAGCTATTGCATGTAAAGACCTCAAACTCTCGAAGTGAGAGTTCTTAATAAGCCTTTTAAGTTAAGAACTTATTTTACATCGTTTAAAGTTAAAACTTTGCTAATTAGCAAAATTTTGTAAACAAAGATCCGCCTATAGAGATTAAGTTATACAATAAATCAAATTTATCAGGCACTGAATTTATTGGCAATCCCTACAAAACTAAATTAAAATGGTACCTGTGTATTTTTGAATGTAGTTTGAGAAAGGCTGATAATGTTCGTCACTCCATTCGTTAGTGGTTTCAACCATGGGGACATTTGATTGCGAATCACCATCGACTGAAATATAATATAATACGACCACAGGCGGGCGCAATTCAAATTCTGCCACGCAACAACAACATATGCCCGGTTTTATGTCTACATGTCCAGAAATACGAAAAAATACGAGCAATAATCTTCGCTGCATAAAGCAATTCTTCGGCTTTAWAGCCGTTAATTTCTTGAAATATGCCCCCTTCCCATCACTAACAATTAGTCAAGAATCGAGAAGTGGTGCGTGTATTGTTACATCATTCTTACTATTGTTTATATGCATGGGCGTATCTAGGCGTATTTAATTGGGGGATCATTACATGTCTTACATACCAAATTTTCACTAAGACGCCATATAACGTCAACATGATGTCATAACAATCTACGGTTTTCTCGCTTTTTTGGCTTTGAAAGGGGGGGGGGCACTTGCAGCCTGTGACCCCCCCTGGATACGCCCCTGATATGATGTGTTAAGAGATTGGTCCATCTTGACCTTCACGTCCTGTTGCCTAAGGGAACGACGTGATCGTCTGCAAACTGTGACAGACATATTGACTGATCCATTGTTTATTGGYATTTTTGTTTATAGAAATGTCGAAATAGCTCGATGGACTGAGCTCGCGAGTTCACCTTTTTTCGAGTTAAAGTGACAGGAAAATATGACAATCAAAAGGTGAATGATAAGTTTAAAGTAATTTTTTTGAGGTTTTTATAGTACTTATTTGACTGTTTGAGATTTAAGTAATAGATAACTTTTTCCGKGTTTACATAGCCTGATGCAAACACGAGGGTAGGTTGGGAGAATTCGAGAAGGTTATGCAAACCCGAGACGAAGTCGAGGGTTTGCATAACCATCGAGAATTCTCCCAACCTGCCCGAGTGTTTGCATCAGGCTATGTAAACACAGGGAAAAAGTTATCTATTGCTTTTACAAAATAACTCTTTTTTCTAAAATATGGCTTTAAAAATYTTAGAATTCGAGTATAATTTTTATGATCAAAACTAGGTTTCTCCTTACCTCAAACATTTCAATGGCTTTTTCAACCAGCCAATTACAGTTCACGTTTTAACGAAAGGCGAAGTTGGCAGGTTTGACAAAATGTAAAAAAAATGGCGGRCGACGGCGGGCGACTTTCTTTCTTTCTTTTTGCATCAAAATTGCCTTTTTAGTGACCTTAGATGAATCATAAACTATGTGGTCTTTGAGGAGAAAGGGTGCATGTGTGTCAAAAGGTCAACTGGACGCAAAAAAATTAGAAAAAGGTAGGTAAAACCAGCAACGGAATATGTACTGCTTTCGCTGAATGAAAACATTTACACCTTCGTCGATTCACTGATTTGAAGTAAAGCTTTATGTTACGTTTCCTTTCAGAATTGGTATGGAAATGATATCAAGATGAGATTTTTGAAAAACTGCAGGAATATACTTGCTGAAAGACTTTGTTTTGACACTTTAAATGATGTTTGATTAGCCGCTTCGACGTGCCGGCACTTCAGCATCACCGACGAAAAAACTCACAAAGCCACAAATAACACATGAAAGCATTGGTCGTATGAACTCCGTTTCATGGATAAGAAGGTGGAATTCATATTCATAGAGATTTTATATTGAACTGGTATCTGGTAACAATATGAAACTGAAGATAATTTTATGCGAGCGATGCAAGAACTGCAAGGACAACAAACCGTACGAAAATATTCCCAAAGCTACAAATAAAGACCTTGTTCGGATAAATTACGTTTAATAAATAAGCTGGTATTCATATTTTTAGGTTAAACTAGTAGCTTGTTTATCGTGTACTTGTATGTAACGAATTTATAAAGAGAATCATTATAAACAATCGTTGAACTGAAAGAAATCTCGATTCCTCAAGCGCAAATCGACATATTCTTGTAGTACTTTTCTTAAGTAGTATCTCAATAAAATGCAAAATACTCACTAAATTCCTCAATTTTTAACTTCATAGAAAAATGTAACTTGCTTTTCACACGTTATTTACAATAATAAAGGTGCAGTTAAGCTTATTACGTTTTAGATTTTTCACTTCCAGTTTYTTGTTGCTTTGTTTATCTATTGTTTATACCGAAGATTCTATGCACTCAAAAACTACAAGAWATAGTAAAACTTCATGCAGAATACTCATAACTAGTTGTTGCCAAGTTTTCGGATACATTTTTGTATAAATAGCTGATTTTTTTCCTATTCTACTTCTAGTTTTGAATCGCACTTRACAAAAAATGGTGACGTCAAAACCATGTTTACATACTCTGATGCAAACACGGCGGTCGGCCAATCAKAACGCGCGTAGTATCTAAGTTATTTTATAAATGTATACAGGGTACTATGACTAGTCATATTGCAGTCCTACTCAAAGTCGCCGTACCTATGAGAAAATTTATTTGCTCAAAACGGCTTAAAAAATAAAACGATTTTGAGTCATTTTGTGTCACAGATTAAGCCTACATTGCCTATGTGCGTTGACGAAACTCAATTAAGTTAAAAAAAAATCATCTTACTGCTTACTGATTTGTTAAGTTTTTGAGAACGGTTTCGAATTAAAGTTTGAAGTCCCCGCCTCAACCCATCTCCCCATTCTGATATTTATGGCGCAGTACCTAAAATACCATCAATGACAACTTTTTCTAATGTTTTTTTTGTTGTTTTTGTTTTTGTTTTTGTTTTTTGTTTTTTTGTTATTTGTTTTTCACGCTTTTCCCTTTGCTTATTAGACGCTGTTTACATGAGATAGGGTGCCCCTAGTGGTAGGCCCAAAATCCTTTGTTTTAAATCCTCCAGGTAAAAGAAAACA